AGTCCAAGGCAGTGTTTCTCAATCTTAGCAATTTTAAGATGTGTGGATTTCAACCCCATGCAGTCCATAAAGTTAAAGTTGTTGAGATTGAGAAATCTGGTCTAAGGAAAGTTGTGCCACAACACAACGTTTTTTCTAAGTGATATCACAGATATGCTCAAAAAAAGTGGAGTTGGTGCCACAACAATGTTTTCTTACTTTTGATAGAAGCAGGGAAACAATAGGATTCCGTGGATGCTTCAACGTCTAACCAGGTCTTAATATCGGCTAATATGAAGACAGCCAGCTCCAGCTCCAGAGCAGGAGTGGCACAAAATGGATGTTCATAGATGTTCTACCTATTTTGATGGCCAGGAGGTGACCTTCAGCTGGGTGTTAGACATTGAGGTGATTTTCTCAGTATTGTACTTATATTTTTTAGACTTATATCGCAGGTTTTGATCAGGAGTTCAAGGTGACATATGTAGGTGTCACTTCTCCCATTCTTCCTCACAACAACTGCATTAGTAAAGCATTGGTAACACAGATGTGAATTAAGTAGTGCAGTGTGAGATGCCTCCTGTCTCCAATGCCAGTTTGAAAGATGAGTACGTATTTCTTTGCTTTCTTCTGCGTTTGCAAGAGAAGATGACTCTTTATTTCCTGGCCACTTGTCACACTTCTGGTATTACACTGTCTCTTCCTTCAACATTTCTTCTTACTTTTATTATATTCTTCTTTAATGTTATAGAGTGGGCTGCCTCTGTCTGCCATGTAGTACTTCTTGCATCTGAGTTGGCCATTGAATGGCCAGAGAGAACCCACTGAGATTTATATTAGACATTAAATCATGGGCTGTTCCTGAAAAACAGCTCAAACTGCCTGAAGAAATTTTAATTTACTATCTGAAGTTTAAATCGTAAGGGTTGCAAAAGATAAGGTGTTTTCATTATGAAAAGAACAGGCCATAATCATTAATTATTATCGGTTCTTTGGTGCAATTCAGCTGATATTCAATATGATAACATTGATTTACTGTTATTAATCTGGTTATACACAATAGAATTTATAGTATATCATAAAACCCCTCCTCAGCCATAGTCAGCCACAGGCTCTAAAATCTGTAGCTGTAGGAATAATCAGAATTGTACCAAATGCAGGGTTTGACATCATACAACAGAGCCACATGATTCTTTTCAGGACTAGAACACAGACGACTATGAGTTCTAGTCTCGCTTTAGGCATGAAGTCAGCTGGGAAATGTTGGGCCAGTCCCTTGCTCTCAACCCTAGGAAAGAGGCAATGACAAATGACTTCTGAACAATCTTGTAAAAAAAAAAAAAACCTTCATAGACTCACCCAGGCAGTTGCCAGGAACCAATACTGACTCAAATGCAACAAGAATAAAAACTGATTAGCAGAGAATTCATCACATTTGTATCCCACTCCTCATTTAGGGAGCTTCCATGCATGAGCTTATCACATTTTGTTTTGCAGCAGACATAAGATAAGGTGAGCTTGAGAGAACAAACTTGCCTAATACTATAAATATTGGAATTCGGCAGAAATGTATACTAAGTTCTCTCTGGTTGGCATTTTAACTACCACTACACATGGCCATTTAATTCATTTTTAACATTCTACCATGCCCTCCATCAGTATTATTAAATATGCATTTCTTTTCATCTAATAAAATATATACCCATTATGTTTAGTATACAGACACTAAAATATTGGAGATTTCCTACATTCCAGGAAAGTTGTATGTAAATAAAATGTACTTTGCCAGACAAATAATTACAGTTGTAGAAATGAATCAAGTATAGATCCTTATTTAACTGTATTAGCTACATGATGCTAAAAGGCTGACAATAATTACAATAGTTAGTACTTTGTGGAAAAGTACTTTATGATCTTGATGTTTATGTGATTCAGATGAATTCTTGGAATTTAAAAAAAAAAAACAAGTATGATTTCATAACCAAAATGGGCACTACACAGTAGAGAGAAAAAGGCAATTAGTAGCCAATAGGTGAAAATTGTCCAGCATGTTTAAGAGAAAATAGGTTGTTAAGAATAAAGCAAAGCTTTTAAGACCCAGAAAGTCCAGTTAAATTAATTGGAAGAAGCTTAACTGGATTCTACAGATATATTTCCTTGGGAAATCAATTTCCTGGGCCATAAACTAGTCAAAGCCAATTCTAAAAAGGTGCAGATATACTGTATATGAATAAGGTTAACTTGAGTGATTGGGTATTCTCCCCCTTTCAGACCTTTATTACCTGCTGTCAGTTTTTTATTTAGGATTGTGGCCCTATAATCCCATTATTTAAGGGACATGGAGTTATGACATTTACAATACTGCCAGCTGGAGAATCTGGCAATATTCTGTAGAACTGATAGAGCATAAGCATGTCATTGCTATGTTCAGCTCCTTAGGGAGAAAATAATAGAAAGTCCTATTTTGATCCCATGCATTTATTAGTTATCTAATTTCATCTGCAATATAATACGCTGGGAACTCTAGCAAATTTTACATACTCTGTGGTTTTTGTTGGCTGCTGCAGGCTTAAGCAGGAAAGCACAACTCAACAGCAGTACAACTAAAGACAACTTAAAGACAACTTAAGATTGCTTCTCTTTCATGGGTTCAGGGGAAAGTGAAAGCGATATCATAGGAGCATAGCAGAAAAACTTTTCTGTGGGGGCACCTACCCTTTGGAACAGGTTACCCCCAGGGATACGAATGATCCCAGATCTTCGTACTTTCCCTCGCGCACTTAAGACCTTTCTCTTTCACCAAGATGGGCTGGCATAAATCTCTTCATTGTTCTAAATCTTTATGCTGAAAATTCTTAACTGATGAGCCAAATTGGCTTAATCATCTTATATTCACATTTTATATGTATGTTATGTTAATTGTTCACCGCCCTGAGTCCCTCAGGAGAAGGGCAGTATAAAAATTAAATAAATAAATAAATAAATAAATAAAATAAAAACATGGCTTATTGTATCAAATGAAAGTAGGGAAATACTCTGCATTGAGCAATAGAAACATAATCAATATTCTTTTGTAGGCTTAGGTATAGATGATTTTATAGACAAAATCAAGTGGCAAGAATTGATTATAACTTCAAAAAGCACTGGTTCCTGGTAATATAATTTACCTTCTTTCAGTCTAGATCCATGATGGCAAACCTATGGCATGCGTGCGACAGGTGGCACGCGGAACCATATCTGTGGGCATGCAAGCGTTGCCCTAGCTCAGCTCCAGTGCACATACGCGCACCGGCCAGCTGATTTTCAGGCCTTCCTGGCCCTCCGGAAGTCAGAAAATGGGCCGTTTGTAGCCTTTGGGGGGGGAGGCCGTTTTCGCCCTCCCCAGGCTCCAAGAAAGCCTGTGGAGCCTGTGGAGAGCGAAAAACAGGCCTACCAGGCCCACCAGTAACCTTTTTGCCATCGCGTGCCAAAAGCGGGGGAGAGCACGGCGGGAGGGGTCACGCGCACATGTGTAGGGGGAGGGACATGGGGGACATTGAATTATGGGTCTGGGCACACACACACACAATCCCCCCACGCTCCCCACACTTTTGGCACACGATAGCAAAAAGGTCAGCCATCATTGGTCTAGATTGTGCTTGGCGAACTAAGAAAATTTGTGATAGGATCTCTTGCTGCCATTTTTACAGTTTAAAAATAGTAGAGGGTTCAGGAAAGTTGCGCTAGAAGTGGACAATTTTATTTTGTCACCCACACCATACCAGTGATTCAAACTGTTTCTGAAAAAGCTGCTACCAGCTTAGCGGATATGAAACTTTTTCTCAACCGAAGACTTTAATTTTTTCAGGGAATAAGTCAATAATTCAGGTGGGACAATCCACATCACAAGTGGTAGATGGAGATTTTTTTTACTGCTTTATTGAGTTGTGGGTCTTTTAACTGTGGGAAATCTGTTTTAGGACTCACATTACCTAATTTATGTTTGCCATCTGAAAATGGTGAAAAGATTGACATGGGGTTGCAAAATGATTAGAAGGTCTCCATGAAAATTTGGGGCTATAAGATGCCAACCTTTGTATAAGTCCTAATCAGAAAAAAAAGTGGGGGGGGGCAGAGAAAGATCATACAGTTTCCTGTGTTATACGGTCTAGGTTCAGAGGAATTGGTCAGCTTGTTCAAGAAAATGATCAAGGAAAAACAATGGATTCCACGGGTCCAAGCTAGTCCAGATCTCTTTCAGATCTGTTCTTACCTCCTAAACATTAGATGTCACCTGGCCCAAATCCTGTGTACCTTTTGAACTGAGAGGATCACCAGGAAGGTGGGGGTTTGGGATCCATGGACACAGTCAGTGTTGCATTTTGCATTTACGTGCCTGGCACTGAAAGATCTATTGTAGGTAAATGCTGTGGAGGGAGTTGTTGATAATGAAGTCAGAGCCTGTAAAACATGGTTTTATAGGGAAGTAAAATGAAAGTCCCACATTGTTCCTGTGTATGACAGTGTGTAAATTACCATTCCAATGACCTTCATCCAACAGAGAAATGACAGGGCGTGGGAGAAGAGAAGAGAAGAGAGGAAGAGAAAGGGTAGATGAAGGGACAGGACAGCAGCTCCAAATGGAAGATGGAAATGGTGTTCTGCCTTTCAGAGGTGATCCTTGCAGCTTCTGCTACCCATAAAGTAATCTTAATAATGACACCTTAGGTACCACACTGCACTGGGGAAAGCTGAGTGTAGATAGCAGGCCCTTCGCTATGCTTTTTCACCTGTCCTGGAGCAGAAATCAGCAACAAGCTGGTGACGAAGCCTGTCATAAACAATCGTCAACGGGGAATAGAGAGGGAGAAAAGCAAAGCAGAACGAAGTAAGAGGCTGAGCACAGCAGTGTTCACTAGTGGGTGAGATGATTAACGATTAACCCCCCTTGCCTCCTGCCTCCACCCATTTGGGTAGTATAGGCCTTGAAGTGCAGCAGATTCTTTCAGAGAAATATCTGAAATAAAGGCCAACAGATAGGGGACGCCGGCAAAATCAGTTGGAGAGGTTGAGGGGGCCAATAACCTCTGGCTGTGGAATCACTGCAATCTGGCCCGTGTTTGCAGATGATAATGCGCCTTTCCAAAGCCCTGATAGACATGGAGATGGCAGATTACAGTGCAGCTTTAGATCCTGCATATACGACACTGGAGTTTGAGAACATGCAAGTCTTGGCAATGGGCAGTGGTAAGTCCATTTCAGAATGTTGTTTTTCTCTATCAAAGTTGGGGTCGGGACAGGGAAGATTCAGAAGTCATTTTTCTTTTTTGACAGCAGCCAGATAGCGTGGAGCAAACATGATTACGGTATGCTTAGTTCCATCCTCTGCCTATGTAAAAGTCTGGCGGTGGAGGAAGGTTTGGTGCCCCAAGCGCAAATATTTTCCCCGTAACATTGAGTCTGGGACTCTGCTTGGTTTTAACCAGCTGACATTTCACAGGATGGTTGCAGTATAGGAATCAAAGCCCCATTATCGTTTTCTCTTGCACTACACACAAAGCTGACTATGAGGGAAAAAAATAGGAAGAAGCCCCAGAAAGAAGCATGGTTGGGAAGTATAGAAGGAAAATAAATGAAATGGGATGAAATGGTTCCCGTAGGAGTAGGTTTTAAAAGGCAGAATGCAAAGGCAACACCTAACTTTTTATTGTTCAAAAAGAGGTTGGAATTCAAGGGCCTATCAGGGAATGCAATTATTCTTTTGGTAGAGTTATACCTACGAAAACTCTTCATATTCTCTGTGCCATAATAATCTGCAGTTAGAGTGAAGCATAATCAGGGGTCTGCCTCTATGACTCTGTACTATACATTCATATTTGAGAAAAAGACTCTATAAATGTAATTGATTCTAAATTATGTTTAGACTTATAATTGATATAATTCTAAATATGTACACAATCCCACCCAGGATTAGAATTGTGGTAAAATATGATTATGATTATTGCTTTTATCACTATTATCATTTCACTCAGTAATGTGGCTGTATGATTTTAAAAAAAAATTCTATTGTCTTTCTTTGTGTGGGATTTTACAAGAAGTGATCATTATTACTTCTATTATGATTAATTATAAGCTCAGCCTGTTTTCTTATATTATGCATTTTTTGCTTAAAAGCTGTGGTCTTTCCCTTGATCCTTTTCTTTATTTTAACTGGCATAACACCGTGTACCTTATTGCCTCAATGAGCTTCAGTGGCATTCATTGAAATTCAGAACTTTCTACTATTTGGAAAACAGCATGCTATGAAATAAAAAAATGGGCTATGATAATTTATGATAATTTTTGTTCTTGTTGTTAGAGAGATGTATTCTACATTTTCTTGAAATCGTACCTGATTTCCTTACTGTCATACAACAATGTTTTAGGACATCTTAAATGGAAATACAGTTGTATGCCTGTACATAAACATGGAACTATAGAAGATGTTCTATGAAGAAGTATAAAGGCATTCCCAGCTCTCTCTGTAAACTACAATTCCCAGTCTTCTTTGGAGAATATCTATTGAAGGTTTAATGATAATCATCTCAATCTTTTATTTGGAATATTACTGCCAGTTTTTCATTCTTACATTTTTGAAGTATCTAACTCTAAGTATCAACATTATAAGTTAATGTTTAAAAGCTAATAATAAAGAGAGGTGACTAAAATGAAAGTTACGTTTCTGAAAGGTTGTATGTAAGAACGCAACTTGCCAAACTACTAAAGTTAGTAATGAATGAGTATTCAGCATGTTCAGTTTTTTTCTCCTTTTATCCATGGTCAGATTTTTACAACTTTTTGTATATTAGCTTGATTACAGTATCTAGGGTCACCACAAAGTGTGCATTGACATTTGGGTGTGGCTGTTGCTGACACCTGCTGGAAATTGACTGAAGTGAGAAAGAGTCGTCTCTACATAAATATATCTTGGGTGCACAGGGAGGCACATGCACCCTGGTCTTCATTTTGTAAAACTTTACCAAACTATTAAAGGCTATTAATTGCACAATCCTATTACAGTCTGAATACATGTAGCTGCTAAAAAGATAAATACAATTATAGATGCATGTAATTATAAAGTATACATGCATCCATTCATTGAAATGTAATTTTCAAGTCAAAGGAAGCAATAATTCTTCTATGGTCTATGTTGGTCAGACTCCCTTCGGTTCATTCATACTGTGTTCTAAGGAAGATTCACAGAAACTTCAAAAGGCAAAGTGAAAGGCAGATAGAAATAATCCCAAAAAAGCAAATTCTTATGAGGATGGGTTTAGGAAAATGGGTATCTTTAATCTTGAAAACACAAAGGGGATATAATACAAGTAAACCTTATAATACAACCACAATTGAGCCCTACATTTCTGATGCTAAGCGAGACATTTGTTAAGCGAGCTTTGCCTCATTTTACGACCTTTCTTGCCACAGTGGTTAAGTGAATCACTACTCTTGTTAAATGAATCTGGCTTCCCCATTGACTTTGATCATCAGAAGGTTGCAAAAGATGATCACATGAGCCTGAGACGCTGCAATCGTCGTAAATAAGAGTCAGTTGTCAAGCATCTGAATTTTGATCATGTGACAATGGGGATGCTGCAACGGTCATAAATGTGAAAAACAGTCATTTTTTTCAGTGATGTTGTAACTTCAAACGGTCACTAGATAAATTGTTGTAAGTCAAGGACTACTTGTAATCCTTTCCAAGTTCTTGAAGAAGTATGATACCAACATTCCTGATTTTTGTCATCAAAGAGCCTGAGACACAGAATAACAATCTTAAGTTACAGAAAGGTACACCTCAGCTGAATGTGAAGAGAAACTTCATCACAGTATAGGAGCAATCACCAAGGCCACTCTGTAAGAATTTGCCAGTTGGCCAATGCATGCAGATAAATGCATAAATACAACAACAATTTTCACAAAAACTGATCAGAAAGCACTGATCTCACCAGGGAGAGTCTGCAAAATAATAACCTATTTGATTTATGATACAATGAACTCTTTATCTTGTTTTCTTTCCCTATACAAGTATCATTTAATTACTTGGTACAATTTGTTGTACAGCATAGCTGCTTGGTTATATAACTGACCAAAGAATTGCCAAACTGACTATTATCAGATCCTTATCATCTCTTTTTTTTTCACTGCCTTCTTCATTTTGCAGTTTCACATTTTCGATCGGAATTTCCTTTTTCTCTTGGAGATGTTTGCTGGAAAATTAGGATCAGTTGGTACAGAGAAGGAATAGTTACTTAACTCTTTGGGGTTTTTTATTACGAAATATTATGAAAAAGTATGCAGTAATCAAATGTTCACACTCATCATTGCTAGCAGCATCACCCATTAACCTATCTTGCTTGCTATTCCAGAAGAGCAGAAGGTAACTTTAATTGATAGGATCCAATGTGGCAGCGAGAAGAAAATATGTCTGCAGTGGAAAAGGAAGTTCTGAATTACAAACCCAATACATATAGAGAAATAGCTTTCAAGCTGCCTTTTTGCATTTTAAACAAAATACATACAAGTCATTACGAAGATAATTCTTACTCCATTATATTTATTCACTAAGGTCAATGCTTTTTTAAAAAAATTCAAAACAACTTCTGAAAGTCTTGGGTTAGCTAGCATCTTGGCCAGCAAAAACTCAAACACAGTTCAGAAAATAATGGATGAGTTATTATGATTGATATCGCTGATTATTTATAGCATCATTAGTGTACCCGAGGAAGGAGATTATTTGGACATCTGGCAATCAGGCATAGGATTCATAAAGAAACTGTATCAGTCACACTTGTGGATGACCTTTTGAGGAGTGCAATCTCCCTGGTTCTCCTTGATCTCTTGGAGGCTTTCAATATCATTGACTTTAGTGTCTTTCAGGACCATCTTTGAAAGACTAAAGGGCAATGTTCTGTAGTGTTGTTTCTCCTTCCTCCTGAATGGTTGGTTGGTTTTAGAGCATTTGGAAGAATGTTGCTAATAATAATTGTGGTGGCCCAGACAGTGATGGGTGCATCTCCATATATTTAGCTGGCCCTCCTAGTTTAGGAATCAATCTAGTTTCTATTGTTACTTTTCATGGGAATATATACGTGTGTGTGTGTGTGTGTGTGTGTGTGTGTGTGTACATATATATCTTACATTATTTTAAACATAGGTTGGGTCTTGGAACTATAACAGTCTCAGTCACCTTGTTAGATGATTCATGCTGGAAACTTGGCAGAAGGTGTATGTCTCTTAATTTTGCTAACCACTGCTTTTGCTGCTTTCAGCACTGTTGACCATGCTGTCCTACATTACTTGGTCAATATGGAATGGGAGTTTCTGATGGTTTAACTCATAAAGTTAAGGTAGAAGACTGTTGCTCAATCCCTTGATGTATGCAATTCCTCAATATTGTGCTTTCTAGTGTTGACATGGAACTACTGGGTGGATCGTTTGAAGTTTCAGAGCTGATTCTATGTTGATATTATCCAATTCTGTCTCTCTTTTTCAAATGATGGCAAGGAAATTGAGGAAATGATAAACATTATCTGATCACAGCAAAGAACTGCTTGAGGGTGAACAACCTCAAGCCCAGACTAGACTAGATAAACCACATATTAATCACTGGCACTCCAGGATTTTACCCATGCCTCTTCTGGGTAACATCATTTGTATGAACAGACTAAGGTTTAAAACTTGGCACTAACTTTGTTTTTCTAATATACTGTGGTGGTAGCAATAACCAGGAGTACCGTTATTTCTTTGCTGAAGCAATTGCATCTCTTTTTGGAGAAAGAGAACAGATCTAACTTCAGTGATTCAGACCTTATTACTTGTTTAGATTTCTGTCTGAAAATTACAGCTATCATAAAAAGTTCAATAGTATTTTTAGTCATGTATTTTACATACGGTTTAATACTGAAATGATTGAATTGGCTTCCAGTTTATTTCTAAACCTAATGTTTAGAAGTGTTGATTATTTCCTAAAAGCCTCAAATGTCTTGGGAGAAAAGCACAGGTGATCTCTTTCTTCCATAGAAAGCTACCAATAATTTACAGTTCAATTTCTTATTCCACTGTCTAAAAAGGAGTGGATTTATACAAAACTACAAGGTAAAATGCCAAGGATTAAAGAGCAAAAATGCAAACTCAGATATTTTTATTAGTACAGCAGGATTATAAATAAGCCATGAAGACCAAATAAAAATTTCTGGCCTATTTTATAACACAAATAAATATTCTTACAAGTGGCATTTGCTATAAAAGTATAAATATGCCTGTGGATCAAATCAAAATCCCTAAACAAGGTGACTACATCTCATCTCATAAACATCTGGGACTCACTATTTATTGAAATATAAATGAGTTTGATGAGTACTCAAGGAATAACCACCCTTAGTAGTAACCGTACTACTACTACGTATGTACTATGTATGTACTAAGTACTGCATAGTAGATTCTGAAGATGAAACTCAAATACTTTGGCCACCTAATGAGAAGGAAAGACTCACTGGAGAATAGCCTAATGCTGGGAACGATTGAGGGCAAAAGAAGACGGGGACGACAGAGAACGAGGTGGCTGAAGCAGTAGGCGTGAGCTTAAATGGACTCCAGAGAATGATAGAGGACAGAAAGGCCTGGAGGAACATTGTCCATGGGGTCACGATGGGTCGAACACGACTTCATAACTAACAACAACAAGTAGTAACTGTTGTAGAGAGGTTAAGTTAATTTCATCATCTTTTAGTGAAAATAGCATTTTTATTGGTTAATGTTACACTACATTATTGTATTAGTTAGTTAGTTTAGTTAGTTTATTTGATTTGTATACCGCCCTACTCCCGAAGGACTCAGGGCGGTGAACAGCCAAGCAATAAAATACATAAATACACAAAATTTAAAACCAAATTAAATCAAATTAAATCATTTTGGCCCAGACAGATTAAAACACCCCAATAATTTAAAAACAGATTAAAATTTACATATTAAAAGAGGGAAGAGATTAGGCCAAGCCCACTTGATGGAATAAAAAAGTCTTCACAGCGCGGCGGAAAAGCTTTCTTTCCTTTTTCTGTTTTTTTCTGTTTTTAATGTATATATTAAAGCTTTCTTTCCTTTTTCTGTTTTTAATGTATATATTTATTTTTAATCTTGTTGGGCATTCATTTTAATTGTGTACTTGAGCATTGAGCAAAAGGATTATGCATAAATACAAGATTAGTCAACATTATTTACGATTGTATTGTCATGTCCCTCAACTTTGTCACTCTTTTGCTGAGTGATTTTTCTCCCCTTTGGAAAATGCCTCTCGTGACTCTGCTTCCTAGCTTAAATGTCATACACACAGCGGACTGGAGAGGAGCCCCAAAATGGAGTTTTGATTACTTTCAAGATTGGCTGTATAGCACAGGATTTACTTATCTGATGTCATGTTGAAAGGAAGGGCTTTGAAGCTTCTTTATTGTGATAATAGTTAACAAACTTCACAGGCTTACTGGCTGGTGCCATGGTGAAAGGAAGGCTCCTTGTAATCACATTAAATGATCTCATAGCCTGTTGGGAAGAATGTTTCTGCAAACCACCAAATGCACATGAATACAGGTGGACAAACTCCATATTACACCATATTATGGGGCAAGAATTGTTAGGAACTTTTCTTCCCCTCATGCCTGCTCTTCATCCTTTCTTGAGAAAGAAGGGATGGCTATTACTTTATAGAGTTTTTAGAAGCTGGAGTCGTTCTTACATTTGAAGTGAAATAAGGGAAAGCTGATTGGTTTGTGTTCTCTGTGTTCAGCTATTGACTACCTGAAGTTAAACAATGATTGGCTGAAGATGCTGTGTGTCAACTATAGACTTACAAAGTGTGTGGACAAGGGTATATGCTGTCCCTAGGCCATATTGACTGATAGGGCAACCTCCCATTATGTGAAGATTTGCATTTTTAGAATGATTCAGAAGGAGGATTGATGCCCTGAGCCAGTGCCTACTCAGCCTTAGTCTAAAGCAGGGGTCTCCAATCTTAGCAACTTTAAGATTTGTGGACTTCAACTCCCAGAATTCCTCAGCCAGCTTTGCTGACTAAGGAGCTCTGGGAGTTGAAGTCCACAAGTCTTAAAGTTGCCAAGGTTGGAGATCTCTGGTCTAAAGCATATGTTTATAAGCATATAGACAATGTTGGTTTGAATGAATATAATATTTGATTTGCAGATGGTGAATACAAAATGAGGAAAATGCAGGTTTGATTTAATATGTATTAGGATAATGTGTTGGAAAATTGAATGGATAAGAGAGCTATTTAAAGCTTTACTACTGCTGGTTTTCTAGGAATTTGTATAGCCCTAGTGATTTCTTGATTTAGTGTGTGTTCATGATTGCTTCCTGCACATCTTCTTAAACAGATACTTCCCCATCTGAAGTTACAAATCTCAATGCTTCTAACAACATTGGAGCCAGTGTGTTATGTGCCATTTGTGGAGATCGTGCTACAGGGAAGCATTACGGAGCATCCAGTTGTGATGGCTGCAAAGGGTTCTTCAGAAGAAGTGTCAGGAAGAACCACATGTATTCTTGCAGGTAAGGAAGGCAGAGTGAAGAGAAAGTTTACTAAAATGATAAGATCAAAAGGGTAACAAGGCTCGGTATATGAAATATTCTTTCTTGAATTAAGAACTATATCAAAGAGAAAGAAGGGAAAGAAGTAAATACATTTAGCTTGGAGAATAGAAGAAAAGGGAATTGAGAGCATGATGTCATCTTTCAAGAGCATTAAGTGTGATCCTTTAAAAACAGATCAAAAGATTGTTTTCTGTTGTTTTAGAGGGTAGGAGTAGATCTACTGGACTTCAGGAGAGTAGATATTGGTTCAATATAAAGAGACATTTTATAAATGTCATAAAGAGCATTTTTTGAGAACAAAACCAATTAAGAAGTCCCTTGCTAGACTGTTATAGAAAAGGATGAAGATCCACCTATCATGGATAGATTTCCTGCATCAAACTTGAGGTTGAAATACAAGGCCGCAACTCTGATTCAGGATTTGATGAAATGAAAACAACACCGCTGAATTTTATTCTTTTTTAACACTCATTTATCTGTGCTCTGCGTTTTCACTTAGTCCAGAAGGTCTACAAGAGCATCTCAGATACATTTTTAACTTGGCTAAAAAACTAGCAAGATTTGTCTGGAAAAGGCAAACTGTAGAAGAGCTGTAAGAAAAAAGAAAGATCTTTTCTGATATCTGGTATACAATGTACAATATCAAAAGTCTACAATTTGCACCACATTTCATAATGTATTATTGCAGCAAATTTAATTTACTATGTGTTAACACTGTAGATTGATTTATTTTCAAATCATGTATCTCTCCTCTTTGCAGGTTTAATAGACAGTGTGTTGTAGACAAGGACAAAAGGAACCAGTGTCGATATTGTAGGCTAAAGAAATGTTTTCGAGCAGGAATGAAGAAAGAAGGTAAGATCCTTTCAGGAATCATCAACTGAGTTTGCTTTTTCATTGTGTAATTATGCTTCAAAAATAGTTTTGAAGACTGCTGTGTAGATTATCAGATTCTATAGAAAGTAGCCATTTCCCCCATCCACATCTGACAGGAATTTTGATGAAATATCTGAGAATGAGTATGAAATAATAATCAAAGTGTTGGACTTGAGTTGGGAAGATTTAAGTTTAAGTCATTACTTGATCATAGGTTGACTGGATAACTTTCTCAAGGCAGTCTATTTGTTGTGATCGTTGAGAAGGTAAAAAGAGGGAAGTCTCCTATGAGCACTACCATGTAGTCAAAAGGAAAGGCAAACTAGACACTATGGGGGCATACCTTAGTGAGTCTTAAATGATGTATCACAGGTAACATAGACAGGTAATCTGTTTAATTGAGGTAGATGGATTTATAATTATGACCAGCAGAAATATAATCCAAGATATCAAAGCAATTATGACAACAGCTGTTCTGCATTTCATCTGGAAATTCAAATTTCCCCTTTTCCCTGCCTCCGAGGATGTAGATCAGATAAGAGATTTTTTTCCCCAGTTTTGCTGTCAGAGACCATTATAACATTGGGAGGAACTACCTGGATAGAACACAATAGCTGTTGTTTGCCATCTGAATTATTATCTGGGAAAAATAGGAATAAGAAGAAATCATTCAGATTTCCAAAATGAAATGAATCATTATTATTGCATCATAAATCTACAAAGTGCATACATCGTTAACATTTGCTCCCAGACCATGGATTTATGGCTGCCATTTTAGTTCGCTTTAAAGGCAGGCTCAGGATGAATGCCCACTCTGTATTCCCTCCAAGATTAAAAGCAGTCTCCCTCTGAATTGACAGTTATATGGAGGAAAAGGGGTAGAAGTGAGGCTCCCATTTTCTGACTTAGTGCATCCCTTAGGCCTCTAGTTAACTGCTGTGAAACAGGATACTGGTCCTTCATATTCCTACCTATGGACGTGCCCAACCATATCTGATGAAGTGGATTCTTCTCCACAAAGTTTGTGTGCTAGTGCATGTGTGATCCTTTAAGATGTCACAAAATAGATTATTATGGTACATGTTTTCCGGGATGAGAATTGAGTTTAGTGGGCAACTATGCTTTTTCAAATGTGCCTCACTGCTCTTCAGGGCTGGTGGAAACCAGCCATAATGAGGGAGATGTCCACCTTATGCTACAATAAAACTTTCCACTTTTAAGTGGCAATAAGACTTCCGGTTGGCTTTAGTATATCCTGTCGCTATAGCAAATGCTTAGATGCTGCCAATGCTTAACATTAGTAGCCAAAGAACAAGTGTTCCTAAAAATGTAGTTCCATTTTGCTTGGATAGTGAAATCCTCATATCTGTCCAGAGTGCCTGCTCAACTTGTATTTTCCTGTTAATATTCAATAGAAGTTACATTGGGTCCATGACCAGCTAAATACTGAGTAAACATTGAGGATACATCATGCTGTGACTGAGCTCCTGAGTTCCTGATAACACACAGCATAACCTTGAGTCCTCCTATTAATAGCTGCTGACTGCAGAGTTTTCATTTCAATATAGCCTCATTATAACTCTATTATTGAGCTGATTGGAAAATAAATCTGAGAGGCACTGCTTGTAACAGTAACAATCAGATATCGCTTAAGAGAGATATTCTTGTGATTAGTCAGAGAGAGAGTGAAAGTATCTGATTACTAGAGCTGATAACTTAGGTACTTCTTGGACTTGTTAAGGGTAATCTCTTCCTGGACCTTAGCCAAGTAATCACAATCAATCACAAGCCTGATCAGGAAATATTAGAATCCTTTTCCCTGGGTATGAAAAGGAACACCTCAAATGTCCAACTACTGTATTGAAGCACCTTCTCCACTCCAAATTTTGCCAATTAATTTATAATTTTGCTCTGATGAAATTGCTTGAATAAGCAACAAAACATCTCAGATTAACGAAGTTTGGTCTAGCTGCCATGATTCAACCTTTAGACATCTTTGGCCTAGATGATTTAGTCTTCATTGATATACTTCCTCACTATAATTGAAGCCTAACATGTTTAAATGTCTGTTAATGTTAAGAAAACTACAAACAAAAAGAAGACTCAGAGGAGCAATAATCGAGGTTTTTTAAAAATATTTTGTGTAGAATAATGTAAACATTGTTCGTTTTTAATTAAAATACAACCCTGACAGACAACAACAAAAATTCTTCCTAGCTTCACAGTGCAGTAACAGCTTGGGAAACATATAGAAGGGTTTCCTGCCTGAGTAGGAGATTGGACTCAAAGACTTCCAAGGTCCCTTCCAACTCTGTTATTCTATTATAGAAGATAAAATTTGTCCCACACTGCTATAGATTAAACCTCAAAGTCATGGCATTGGTACATTAATGAAGCTGAGAAGGAATTTTTTTCTCCTTTGGGTGACAGGTCAAGAGGTTAAAATGTAAAAAAAAAAATCCATCCCAGTTTATTACAATTGAATTTGCTTCTTAAAAGTGCACAATAGCATAGAGAATATTCTATAGATATACTTAATTATATATTATCTTGTTTCATTTAATAGCCCAGCTCAAATCTTTGTGATACTTCAGATCAGCATCATTATCATCAGCAACAGCAGCAATATATGGTCATTGTTTTTTTATTGGGTGAAATTCAATTTTGAATAAAACTTCCATTAAGCTTGTTGTTTGCCTTCCATCCTCATTTCCCTATGCCTGCTCTGATAGAACTTCCAAACTTCCAGTCAAAATATGAGATGCACAAAGGACAAAAAAATAGCCTCTTTCCCCATTTTTATACATTTACTATTTTTTCCCATGGGAGTGAACCTGCTTGGATGCAAAGTTTTATCTTTCAAATGTAAAAGGTACTATAAAAAGCAAGCACGAAATGTCATTTGTGTTCCTATTGATAATGTAAATGGCTTAGGTATCTTTAATGTTGGAGTTTTTATTTCAGCTGTACAAAATGAACGTGATCGAATCAGTACTCGGCGATCTAGCTATGAAGACAGTAGCTTACCCTCCATTAATGTTTTATTGCAAGCAGAAGTCCTTTCACAACAGGTACTTGTTTCTGTTTTGGAAAGAATTAGTATAAACACGATTAGAAGGCTCCCATATCCCACTGTTATTTCAGTGCACATCTTAATCTGGAAAGCATGTCTATAAATATTGAATGATGGTTCTCCAAGTACACCTATATAGAGAGATTTATTTTGGAATAAATGTACAGAAGTTTCAATCGAAGAGAATATATGTAGCTCAGAGTTGACCTGTGGAGTCTGTGGTGCTCTCTGAGCTTGGTAATTTGCTTGCAGACGTTTCATTATCCCACTATGTAACCTCATCAATGCTAGCAATGCAAGGAGTTTGCTCCTTGTTTATATACAGCAGCTTTCCTTGTGAGTGTTGGTGGCAGTATGGTTTTAAAATTCTCAGCCCGCTGTAAAAGCACTTTAACTTCTTCTTTAACCGTTCTAGTTTCAAAGTAATGCTTTTCCTCTTCTCTCACACAAATTTATTAAAAACACAATCTATGATGCTTTATTGATGATACTGTGATGATAAGGTCAGGGCAAGGAACTGCCAAGCTCCTATTATCTGTTTTATATATTGTATGTCTCCTTCTCACCAGGATAACTGGGTTTTACTGTACCTTCCATGGCCATTTTGTCTTAAGCTGCAGGAGACACCAGACAACCTTGTTATATGGAGTTATTTGACTGCATAATATCTGATTAGGGAGAACAATTGGCAGTTTTCTTTCCTGCCAGCATATTACATTGGGTGGGAGAGCAAATTCAACTGGCAGCCTCCAGTAATAGCTATCCTTAACTTGTTCTAAATGGCTTTATTACTCAGAACTCAGCAGCCAGGGCTGAGCAGTTTATGCCACAGGATCAAGTTTTGGAGGAATGCTTGTGAATGTGGCCATGAGCAAAACCCTAGCTCTTTTGTTAATGAAGTCATAATGCCGTTGCAACCACATTTTACGTAACAATGATAAATGTTACCGCAATTCTCTGGGTGCAAAATATTGTTCCTGTGCATAGTGAAAAAAATGCACTAGAACTATAACCTTAAAAGAAGATGCTTAGGTTATACATAGTTGTAACCAAAAAAAGCTAGAGTTATGAATTTAGTGCATTAAATGTTAAAAGAGGTCTTGGTAATAAGAATGCAAACTCATACTGTTAAAAACTCATACTGTTAAAAACGCGTAATGGGGTGAGCTCCCGTTACTTGTCCCAGTTCTGCCAACCTAGCAGTTCGAAAGCACATAAAAAATGCAAGTAGAAAAATAGGGACCACCTTTGGTGGGAAGGTAACAGCGTTCCGTGCACCTTCGGTGTTTAGTCATGCCGGCTACATGACCACAGAGACGTCTTTGGACAGCGCTGGCTCTTCAGCTTTGAAACAGCTATGAGCACCGCGCCCTAGAGTCGGGAATGACTAGCTCATATGTGCGAGGGGAACCTTTACCTTTTTGCTGTTAAAAACTGCATTCTCACAATCCAAATCACTTACTCAGGACTGATATTTATGTTTGTTTAATTGTTTAGAGGGAAATAGATTTATACCACCTTCAAAATGATTTTGAGTGTTCACATTAAGCATGGCTTCCTTTCATCTTTGTAGTAATAATATTAGATGGAACTCCTCTCCTTGTTTTGCAGATATCATCACCAATGTCAGGGATTAGTGGAGATATCAGAGGGAAAAAGATTGCAAATATTGCAGATGTGTGTGAATCTATGAAGCAGCAGTTATTAGTGCTTGTGGAATGGGCCAAATATATCCCAGCCTTCTGTGAGCTTCCCCTGGATGATCAGGTGAGCCCCTTGTTCGCACTCTTATTCTAATTAAACTTTGCTTCCATATTCCATTTTCAAAATTGTTATCCTGTCATCCTTTTGAGATACACATCTGATGATGAGGCTTTACAGTTTCTATCCACTGTTGTTTATTGATATACAGTACTGTAATGCTGAATTGGTTGATAGTAATAATAATAATCCTTAGGAAGGGCTCGATAGGTGAATAAAAATGGCAAATCCTGGCTGAAAATCTGGCTGACTTTGCAAGCAACCACAGTAATATCTGAAAACATCTGGAGCACCACTTGAACACCATTGGCATTGACAAAATCATCATCAGTCAATTGCAAAAGGCAACTTTACTAGGAATAACTTAGATCCTGCAATGATATTTTTAATACCATCAAACAACATCTGCCTAGGGGAGTCCTTGGGAAAGACTTGTTGGGTGGATAAAAATGCCAAATTCAATCTAAACATCTGGCTGATTGTGTGACCTATCATAATATATTCCTCCCCAATATGTAAAAGCTTTGGATTTAATGGCATTTAAATGAACAGTTACATTTTTATGGCTATTGCCCTCTGCATTCTTAATTGTGTAGGCTTCCTTGTTTCTATGATACTTTGAGTCAGAGATTGATTGGATTAAGCTAGGAGTTTATTGACTTTCAGAATGGATCTATTATGGGACATGATTCTGGCTTTCATAATAGGGCATCGGTATCTTTAGGCCTGGTGTTATGACTGGATATAGATTCAGTGAATCTCGCTGAGCAAAGCAAAAACAAGCTGTTTCCCTTTCTTTACCATAGAGGTGGACAATTTGTGTTCCACAAACTATTTGTTATCCCTAGTGCCTAATTTGCAGCCCTAAGAGCATCTTGGATTTAGAATAGAATAGAATAGAATAGAATAGAATAGAATAGAATAGAATAGAATAGAATAGAATAGAATAGAATAGAATAGAATAACAGAGTTGGAAGGGACTTTAGAGGTCTTCTAGTCCAACCCCCTGCTTAGGCAGGAAACCCTACACCACTTCAGACAAATGGTCTAATCTCTTTAAAACTTCCAGTGTTGGAGCCTCCAGAACTTCTGGAGGCAAGTTGTTCCACTGATTAACTGTTCTAACTGTCAGGAAATTTCTCCTTAGTTCTAAGTTGCTTCTCTCCTTGATTAGTTTCCACCCATTGCTTCTTGTCCTGCTTAGGTGCTTAGGTGCTTTGGAGTATAGCTTGACTCCCTCTTCTTTGTGGCAACCCCTGAGATATTGGAACACTGCTATCATGTCTCCCCTAGTCCTTCTTTTCATAAGACTAGACATATCCAGTTCCTGCAACCTTTCTTTATATGTTTTATCTTGAATCATTTTTGGTAGTGCAATAATTTGACCTCTTATTGCAATATAAAAAAATATAAAAGAACAAAAACAGTTCTGCCCACTTGGTGATATCACTATATAAAAAATATACTTTCTGCAAGCTTTGAATACCAGAATAATCTTATCCTTTCCTTTCCTTTCCTTTCTTTTCCTTTTCCAAATGCAGTCCCTACACCCACCCACCCCAAATCATTGCTTTTAACAGTATTTTCCAGGGAATCTTCTTGTAATTCCAAAGGGGTAGAAATAAATGTTGTTTGAATCCTCATGTATGTTTTCTTCTTTTTTTATTATTATTAAAGTTGTATTACACACATATTAAAACATTGGACACGGTGTAACCATCCTGGCATTCTTTTTGCCATACATACTAAAATGAAAGATAAGTATCATATATACCTTATTCCTTATATACAATTAGTCTGTTCAGTATTTACATACCTAAAGACATCCTTCTTCTGTCTGTATTACTTATACATTTGTTTTATCCATTATCATTCTATTGTAGTTACATACATAACTTTAATTCTCCATTTTATGAATTCTAGTCAGTTCTTGTTTTTCGACCCACTTTTCTGTTCCAACCATTGATACAATTTGTTCCATATCTCGTGGTATTCTGACTCACCTTTATTTTTCAAATCCAAGGTTAATCTATCCATTTCCACACGTGTCAAAAATATTTTGATCACTTCATCTTCTAGAGGCGTTTCCTTATTCTTCCAATTTTGGGGAAAACTCATTCTTGCTGCTGTTATAATATGTATTGTTAAGTAAGTTACCCCTTTACTGTATTTCCCATTTATTATTCCCAATAGGAATAGTTCTGGTTTATATTCTATTTCTTCTCCAATTATTTCCACCAACCATAAATAAATCTTCCACCAATACTCCTGTGCTTTTTTACATAACCACCACATATGATAGTATGTGCCTAATTCATGGTTGCATTTCCAACACTTTGGTGTTTTCTTTTTTTAAAATCATTAAAATCCCACCTTCAGTCGATCACAAAAATATTCGTCTTAAAAAATACTGTCCTCCCAAACAAAATGAAAAATAATAGAATAAGCATTTTGCTAGTGTTTCCTGAGTGAATAGTCAGATTCATTTTCTTCTAACTCTTCTGCTTTTTATACTGAACTGGAGTTTTTGGGCGCAGTGCATTTTTTTCCTGACTCCTCACTCCATGATTCTGTGCTTATGGTTGGGTGATTGTAACACACCTGAATTCCACAGTACTAGTAATATTCTAAAAACTCCTCCCATGTAGACACATATTTGACCAATTCATGTATAATAGAACAGTTTTCCCTAATTATGTTTTTCTTGCTACTATTTTTGTTATGGAGTAACAAAATTATGGAAATTATGGAGTAAGAATCACTTACCCAGTTCATCATTTTTCTAAGATTCTTTTAGCATTAGGATATTATTATCAGACAAATCTACCCTACTCCACTTTGTCTCAAACCTAAAACCAATGCTTCTGGAAAATAGCACTCTCTCCAGCTCTTTCGTTACATGATATTTCTCCATGTTTGTTCAGTGCTTACATGTTGGCCCATCCCCATAAAGACAATCTTTCCCAAATCCTCCAGTTAATGTTTAGAGACTGTTTGCTGAAAAGCTGAAGTCCCAGTCGGACATTAAAAAGCATCCATGTCATACTGCATCTTGGTGTTAACCTTTGTTTCTAAAGACTTTTAAAAAAAAGATGTGAAACGGGAGATTCAGAACATTCTTGAGGATCATTGAAGGGTATAAAGTGACACAATGCAATCATTAACAACATAGCAAGCAGGATTTTTTTTTTAAAAAAAGAGGAAAACCTGCCTGTCCGTCACTGTAGAAAAAAATTCAGAAGCATTAAAAAAATTAATTGTATCAGGGCAAGAATGCTAACTCTATTCATAATAGATCCGTATGTGAGTAAGTTGCAATATTGCACTGGTCAGACCGCACCTGAAATACACTGACTCCAGTTTTGGTCACCACAATGGAAGAATGCTGAAAAGCTAGAAAGAGTAGAAAGAGCAGTAAAGATGGTGAGGAGTTTGAAGGCTAAATCCTATGAAGGTTAAAAGAGTTGAGTTTAGCCTAAAGAAGGCTAAACATGATACCAATCACCCAATACTTGAAGAGTTGTAATGAGGAAGAGGCTGTGAATTTATTATTCATAGTGCCTGAAGGTAGGGCAAGAATCAGTGGGTGGAAGCTTTATGAAGAGAGACCAAAAATCTAACTAAAGAGAAATTTCCTGACAGTGAAATCTATTAAGCAGTGGACCCACCTGCCTCTTGACATTATGAAGCCCCATCACTGGAGCTTTTCAAGCAAAGTTTAGACAGTTATTATGGGGACCAGTGTGCTTTTACTTGTTTATTAACTAAGCAGAGTGCATCCTTAACTTGGAACAGTGCATCCACCTAATATCCTGGCCAATAGTCATAGGGGAATTAACTGTTCTGGAAAATATTGTACTCAGCAGCTTTAGATCTGGCCAAGTGACTCATGTAATTCAGAACAGCATTTAACTATTTAGTCTTATATTCCAGCTATAATCCAAGATGGATGAGGATGAGGATGATGATCATCATCATCATCCTTGGAGTCAATGTTGACTTCTGGCAACTGCGTGGACAAATCTCTGTAGTTTTCTGGGCAAAAGATTTTCAAAAGATAATTACCATTGTCTCCTTTCTAGGGTTGAAAGAGACTGACTGATCCAAAAGTATCCAACTGGCTTTTGTTTAAGACAGGACTAGAACCCAACTCTCAGAGTTTCTAGAGTGATGCCTTAACCACTATATTAAACTGATTGTCATAGCTGAATAAATAGTTTTTATTTACTTACTTACTTACAACAGGATAGCTTTGCAACATACTCTTTGGTAATTTACTTTTTACTAATTTTCAATATGGACTACTGTAATATATTATAAATGAGACTGCCTTTAAAACTAATAAAGAAACTTCAGGTAGTCCCAAGAAAGACAGTAAGATATCTTAATGGAGCTGCCTGAGATATCATGGATAAATTCCTATTAGAGCTGTTCAACAGTGGAACAAACTGCACCAAGAGTTAGTCGGCTCTTCTTTATTAGAAGTGTTTAAACAAAGGCTGGGATGCAGCAGATATTTACAATGGATTGGAAGTTGACTTAAATTATTCCCAAGATTCTACATTTTAGAATCTCTGACTATATTTCATGGTTACTTTGCCATCTGCACTGAGTGTCGGTTTACTTTTACTCAAATTCTGATATTAATCCATAAAGCTCTAAACATCTTAAGGCTATAGTATTCAAAGAAGCATATTCTACACATATTCATTGCCCAGGACCTTAAATTCCCACCAGATACTTCTATCCTATGAAGCAAAGCCAGTAGCTATTAGAGAAAGGGCCTTTCTGGCTGTGGTGTCCCAGCTCTGAAAAGCCATCCTGCCCCAATTGCGCTTTGATGTTGGCTTTGACTCCAGACATTTAAAGAGCCATTTTGAAGTTTTAGAACATTAATGCTTTGTTGCTATTTTATTGTTGTTTGTATTCCTGCTTCTGATTTTTATCTTATCAGTTTGAACTTTTTGCTGCCTCATATATTTTTCAGTTTTATTTTTCAGAATGTGCTATTAACTGATGGTTTACCTCTCAAGACAATCTTTTTAATTTTGTTTAAATTAAATGTAATCACTCCAGCCAGCTAAGCCTGGAAAGCACACATGCTCTGAGTAAATAAAAAGACAATCCTATTCTTCCCCAAAATGTGCCAGCCGAAATAAACACAGCTGCTTTGGGGGTTGTGATTACAAGGGCTCAGTTCATACTGTGTTCTCTCCAATAATATGGTTCTCCATGGGAAGATGCTTTTCTGTGCTCCTCCTTGATGGGCACCCCTTAGCTTTGTGCCATGCTCTGTATGTCTTTCTCTATTAGCCAGTAACAGTAGATTTTTGTTCCTTTGTTCCTGCAGGTGGCTTTGCTACGGGCCCACGCTGGGGAACATCTCTTACTGGGGGCAGCCAAACGCTCGATGGTGTTCAAAGACATCCTTCTCCTAGGTAAAGAGCTTCTCCCTTAAAAGTTCAGTAGATTTTTCAGTGTGGAGGGTTTTAAAAAAACAACACAGGCGCTGGCATTTGATGGACTTCTTGTAGTAAAATCTTGTATGTTTACTTGGCAATGTCCCATTTGCTAAAGGGGAATTATAACTAGTAAGCGTGCATAGTAGTGTTTCCAACCTCAGCAATTTCCAAGATTTGTGGACTTCAACTCCCAGAATTCCTCAGCCAGCTGGGAATTGAAGTCCAATCTCTTGGCGGTTGCTGAGTTTACGGGATTGTACTTTTCATCATCTATTTGTTTTCACTTATCTGTTTTAATGAGTTTAGAGACCAGCAATGATTTTAAGAGAGTAACATGTACATTGAGAGAGGTATTACTTTCTGTTCTTTTGTCCTGCTGTCATCTCTGACTTTACAGTTTCTGAAGCAAAATATCAGCTTGTTTATAGAAGTGAAAGAAGGCTATCTCTGTGTGGTATTAATACCTGTTCTCCTGCTGTTTTAAAACAAATCTCTAGCCTCTCTTTCCAGCTTGACATCTAGTTGTTTAAAACTGGTCTTCTTCAATGGAAAAAGAGATCCAGATCAGAGGTGGGTTTCAGCAGGTTCTGACCAGTTCTGGAGAACCGGCAGCGGAAATTTTGAGTAGTTCGGAGAACCGGCAAATACCACCTCTGACTGGCCCTGCCCCCATCTATTCTCTGCCTCCCGAGTCCCAGCTGATCGGGAAGAAATGGGGATTTTGCAGTAACCTTCCCTTGGATTGGGGAGGGAATGGAGATTTTACAGTATCCTTCCCCTGGAGTGGGGTGGGAATGGAGATTTTACAGTATCCTTCCCCTGCCATGCCCACCAAACCATGCCACACCCACAGAACCGGTAGTAAAAAATTTTGAAACCCACCACTGATCCAGATGTTGTTGTCTTTAACTTTTGATGCTTTTGAGTTTTCCTGATATTTCTTCTAATGAACAAGTAGATTGATTGAACCATTTCTTTAGCTTGCTAATGTGCTGCTAGGGCTGTCTTACCTCAGAGGCCCAGCATTTAAAAATTGTTTTGTGGTGGAATTAAGAACCCAAGAAACAATTTTGTATGGGAAAGCCATTTATTGACAAGAAAAGTTGATGTGTAACAAATAATATAACACAAGCATCCTTAAGCTCTACAGGTAGTCCTCAGCTTATGACCCACAAGTGAGCCCAGAATTTCCATTGCTCAGCAAGGCAGTTGTTGAGTTTTGCTCCAATTTACAATCTTTTTTGCCACATTGTTAAGACAATCACTACAGTTAAGTGAATCATGCAGTTATTAAACGAATCTGGCTTCCCCCATTGACTTCACTAGATGGAAACCAGCTGGGAAGGTTGCAAATGGTGATCATAAGGCCCCAGGACAACTGTCATAAAAACATGCCAGTTGCCAAGTGGCCAAATTTTTGATCATGTGATTATGGGGATGCTGCGACAGTCATAAGTGTGAAAAACGGCCATGTCGCTGTTGAATGATCACTAAATGAATGGTTGTAAGTCAAGGACTGCCTGTAGTTTACAATGATACTTGCATGTCAGCAGAACAGTTCTACAAGGACTTTATTAGTAATATAAAAAAGTGATGTGCTACAACTATCTAATTAATTATTGTGGTTTTGGTGGAGAGGAACTAATCCCCTGTGATTGGTAATTCTAATTTTAAATAGCTAGATAAGGAAAAGAAAATATTTCCAGCAGCTTAAACATTGAAACGGATTTTTAGGTGGAAAGAAAAAAAAAGATCAACTCTTGTTATACTGATGGATAGCAAATTATAGAATGTTCTGTATGCAAAGAATGAAGCAATTGAATGAGAATTTAAATAACCCCATTTTCCTGCAGGAAATGACCACATAATCCCCCGAAACTGCCCAGAATTGCTGGAAATCAGCCGTGTAGCTGTGCGAATTCTAGATGAGCTGGTGTTAACGTTTCAAGAGCTGCAGATTGATGATAATGAATATGCTTGTCTGAAAGCCATTATCTTCTTTGATCCAGGTAGATGCTGTTTTTGAGCAATTAGAAAAGAAATATAAGGATACTTCCTTTAAAACTGTAGTCCCGTAGCATTACTGAGGAATTTATTGCTCCAGACCAAGTCCTTAATACTGTTGTGCTATTTCGTTCAACAATACCCTTCTCCAGAGTCAAAGCTTCCCAAAGGTTCTCAATGTGTAGTCCCGAGACCCTTTCAGAGGTTCCAGAAAAATCAAATAAAAGTTAATGACTTTACTGTTGTGGTGAGCTGCCCAAAGTTGTTAAATGTTTTAAATAACCTATGGAATAAATGTTTTAAATCGTATTTTAAAAATGCACAGTTTTAATCTTTAATACAATAAATATTGGTGAGAATAATTCACATAAACCAAAGCTCTTGGGGGAGGAGATCCTTAATCGTTTTTAAGAATATAAGGGTGCTGGGACCAAAATGTTTGAGAACTGCTGTTCTAGATCAGTCTGCCCTGATACCCTTCACGTTTGTTGAACTTGAGTTCCTATAACTCTTTACACATAGTTTTGGTCAAACTGTTACAATGAATATTCTCAAGTAGGGATAATTTGGGAAGTATTTCCCCAAACAGCAACTTGGGAGATGAGCAACAAAAATCTTACTGTGTGTCTTTGAATAAACATATTAATTGTCCTAGCATCAGTTTCTGGCTTCGCAGGAGATGGCTTTTCTTTAAGTTATTTCCTTTCAATACGGCCATAGCACTGCTGCACTATGATGAGTAACAGCAATTGTAAGAGTGAGAAGTAAACATTACAGTACAGATAGTTCTCATTTACCAACCGCAATTAGAACCAGCGTTTAGGACCAGCAACTTTGTCACTAAGCGTAACAGTTGTAAATGAAATGTCATATGACAGCGCCCAACTTACGATATCAGTTTGTCAGTTCTGGCTGCATTCATTAAGCAAATCATCGGACATCATTAACCATGATATCATATGGCCTTGTGACTTCCTGTTGGTTTCCCCACTTTACTCGTCAGAAGCCATTTGTGAAAGTTGCAAATGACCACAGGATGTTGTAACCTTGTAAAGTGCAATGATGTGGATGCTATGATGGCCACAGTTTTGACAAGTCTCCTTTTTTAGCATCATCGTAGCTTTGAATGGTTACTGAACAAGTAGTCAGTAAAAGAGGACCACGTGGAATTAAAATCTCTCAGCTTCTACCAAAATAGAAACTCAGAGACAATCAAGAAGACTATTTGAAAGGACAATGATTAGGCATTTCATTGCTGACTCCCCTGTTTATGATCAAGAGCAAGTAATAAGCCTCAGCAACACTTTATACTAATCACACTAAACACTTGCATACTATTTCATTTTAATTGCCATCAATTAGGTCTGGAAAAATGTGGGAGGAAATATAAAGAATACTGAATTGGAGCTTTCATGACAGAATGCTTTGTGTGAGAGAAAATAAAGATCACAATTCTAAAAAAAAAATCCACTGACACAGTAATCCTGTTTCACATCTTAATCCAAATATAATCTATGTTTCATTGATTTTATTCTGTCAGCCCCCAATATATCGCATAGAAATGTCCACATGCAAAGGAAAAATGTTTCATGGCTGATGCAGGATTTATCTCTTCCCTAGCAGTGATATGATCAGGCTGTTACAGAAGGCCTCAAAATGGTTTCTTCAGTGTTGTGTTTGGTGGTGCTGTTTCATAAACTGGAATTGCTTATGAAAGTTGCCTCATAAACTATAGTGCCCCTGTATTAATTTCTACCAGGCTTCATACTGTACCTATGAAGTCGAACATTCTGGGGTCTAACTCCCTCACTCCTCACAATTGTCCATGCCCAACTGGAGCTGATGGCCATTGGAGACAAAGGCCGTAACAGGGGCAAGAGTTCCCCAGCATTTGTTTTATGTAATCGGGGCTCATGCAAATCATTTGAAAGGCAGAATATGGGAATAATGCACCCCCAGCCTTTTCAGTCTCTAGTTCAGTGGCAGAATGCATGCAGAAGTCCCAGCCTCAAACTCTTTCAACTTCAAATGTTCTAGGGAAATTCCTGCCAAAATCTTTGGATTGCTGCTTCCAATCAGGGTCAGCAATATTGGGCTAGATGGATGAGTAACCTAAACCATTTACCGTAAGTTACTAGCTAATAACTTTCCTTTTAAAGAACAACATTCCACAAGAAACTACCCCAGATTATTCGAAACAGGGATCCTCACTCTTTTCAATATCTCTGTCCTTGAAAATTGGCATAATATATAACATCTCACTTTTTATTCCAGATGCTAAAGGCCTAAGTGACCCTATCAAGATCAAACGAATGCGATATCAAGTCCAGGTCAGCTTGGAGGACTACATCAATGACCGGCAATATGACTCACGAGGACGCTTTGGGGAGCTGTTACTTCTCCTGCCAACCCTCCAAAGCATCACGTGGCAGATGATTGAGCAAATCCAATTTGTTAAACTGTTTGGCATGGCCAAAATTGACAACCTGTTGCAAGAGATGCTGCTTGGAGGTGAATATTGTCGCAGAAACCTTCCTGAAATTAGGCATCAGGACTTTTGCCCCTAGAATGAAAGATAAGTGCAGAACATACAGTACCACGAATCTCACTTCAGTTAAGAGAAGAAAGAAAGATAAACTCAACGATACAGCTTGTTTGAGAGATATCTATGGAGATTCTCAGTCATCCAGGTCATGGTTGTCCCAAAGGTGCTTTTTCAAGAGACAACTGGACTTTCTGGTTTTCCTTTGAAGACATTTCACTTCTCATCCAAGAATCTTCTTCAGCTCTGAAGAAACTTCTTGGATGAGAAGTGAAATGTCTTCAAAGAAAAACCAGAAAGTCCAGTTGCCTCTTGAAGAAGCACCTTTGGGACACCTTGTTTGTGAGTTTGATCTTCCTCCTGAAGTAAGATTTCTGCTAATCCTTTTTTTTTATTATTTATTTAGTGGCTGTATTTTGCAATTCAATTACAGTAAAGGGATTTTTTAAATGAATACTTTTTTATGTTTCCAAAATTTCAGTGACCTACTTGAAAAAATGACACATTGAGAAATACTTACTCAACAGACTTCAGATTTTCTATCAGAGAATGAACATTTTGGCTTGCTCAGTTTCATTAATAACAAGAAATCTGTGTCTGTAGCTAAGCCAAGGACATGGAAGAGCCCAGATCAAACTTTGCTCAACTAGCATCTTCCAGATATATTGGTATTACAGACTGTGTCGGAGTGTCAGATTCTTTGCAGAAAAGAACTTGGAAAAATGAGTGTCTTCAGCCTCTACAAAGCAGATGAAGAATAGCTAAGGAAGGATATGACTTGAAGTAGAAAAAGTGTGGGTCACAATCAGGGAGATTTGTACATCTCTTATTCCTTTCCAGATACACAAAAGCTGTAGCCCAGGTTTCCATCAAATTCTAAATTGCTCAGGACACATTCTTAGGTTACATGCTGTAAACATAAACTATTGAATATTTTTTCCACAAAGATATAATTGAGTAAAGTGGGAAACAATAGTATTTGATTAGTTTGGATTAATTAATTTTGATTCTTCCGAAATGCATCTCTGTGATTTGGGCTTCACCTGTTCGTGCTTCTACTATTAATCAACAGAATAATTTAAGTCTAGACTGGAAAGTCAGGAGGTAAAACCTGATCTATTCCCTGTCCAAATGGTTATTGACACCAAGATCATTTTAAAGATTAGAATGGGATATAATTTTCTTCACTGAATATTGTTCAATACCTATTCATCGTTTTAGGGTCATCAAGTGACACGCCTCATGCTCACCATCATCCTCTACATCCCCACCTGATCCAGGAGAATTTGGGAACAAATGTCATTGTGGCCAACACAATGCCTCCTCAGATCCATAATGGACAGTTGTGTAAGTATTCACACTTAAAAGATCCATCTGTCCAAGAATGCTGTATTTGTTCTCAGCTACAGTAAACCAGCTTTTGGTAAAATGATATCTCCCAATCACGTTTAATTTTATAGACCAATGTGAATGATAATTGTGGGAAATGAAGTCTAACATTTCTGCAAGACATCTGGAAGAAAACTACACTATCTATAGTAGTAGCAGCTCCTCATAAATACTAAAGGGCATCAGATGTATTGTTTTATTATTTATTTGAGGGCTGTATACGTTCCATAAGAAAAGTACCCCCATACCTTCTCCCATTTCCTCATCATGTAAGGAGGCCATGGTATTCATGCCCTCTTTTTTTCAGATTTTTTTTATCCCACCTTTATTATTTTTTATAAATAACTCAAGGTGGCAAACATATCTATCACTCCTTTCTCTTCCTAGTTTTTCCACAAGAAGAACCCTGTGAAATTAGTTGGGCTGGAAAAGAGTGACTGGCCCCAGATCAAGCCAGCCTTCATGCCTAAGGCAGGACTAGAACTCACAGTCTCCTGGTTTCTAGCCTGGTGCCTTAACCACCAAATCAAACTAGTTCTTTGACCAATTTGCTCTTTGTAACCTATTTATGCCTCTGTAGATATTAAGGGAGATGCAAGAATTGTTAAGATGACTGAAGCATTCTTTAATGCTTTGCTGATCAAAAGACCCTGAGGATACTTTAATTCTGCCCTCAGCTAAATCAGAGGTTGGCGGAATTCCTCCTTGCCAGGGGTAAAATTAAAACACCCAAACTAAGTTGATCTGCTTTTATTCTTTGTCAAAAATATTAGGTGTATAGAAATTTCAGCAATGCTACCTCTGCCTGATAAATTTAATCTGCAGTTTCCATCTACTGTAGACCTCATGACTGAAAGACCAGCTTATTTTTTGGATTTTCTGCTTCTTGCAATATCTTGGATGATGAATAATTGGAGAGTGGATAAGCATTTGTCTGAAGTGGTGTAGGGTTTCCTGCCTAAACAGGGGGTTGGACTAGAAGACCTCCAAGGTCCCTTCCAACTCTGTTATTCTATTCTATTTTATCCTGAAGAACCCGACAGCTTGCCTGCTTTTTCCTGCAATTTTCATTGCAATAAAGATATTGTCATATTATGTAAAATAAGTTAGATTTTTTTCCCCATGATTGGTACATTGCAGAATATACTTCTGAATTAAGATATATAGGAAATGTGTACAGGTATCCCAATGATTTACAACAGCTCATTTAGTGACAATTCGATGTTATACACTGAAAAAAGTGACTTATGGCTATTTTTCATATTTATGATCATTGCAGCATCCTCATGGCCACCAGATCAAAATTCAGTTGCTTGGCAACTGACTCATATTTATGATAGTTGCAGTGTCCTAGGGTCATGTGATCCTTTTTTTGGCGACCTTCTGACAAACAAAATTAATGGGGAAGTCTAATTCACTTAACAACCACATTACTTGACTTAACAACTGCAGTGATTCACTTAATAGCTGTGGCAAGAAATGAGGCATACTTCACTTAGCAACAGAAATGTTGGGGCTCGATGTGGTTGTAAGTCAAGGACTGCCTGTACATGAAAAATACTTGTGGCTTAATCGTCTGTTCATTGTAACAATGAATTTTGTAACAAAGCTTTTTTTCCCTACAGCCACTCCTGAAACTCCCCAACCTTCCCCCCCAGCTGGCTCTGGAGCTGAACAATACAAACTACTTCCGGGGGCCATTGCAACTGTAGCCAAGCAGCCCAGTTCGATCCCTCAGCCCACCATCACAAAGCAGGAGGTCATCTAGCATCCAACTGAATGAGCAATTGATGACTCATAGACCGCCGTGTGGAGAAGCAAACCTCCCTCGTTCTCATCTCAATCACCCTGGTGGTCGAACAATTCATGGAGCTTTTCCCAGGGCAAAAACGTGCTATTTTTTTTATTCAGAAATTACATGTGAAAAAAAAAATAAGAAGTGATCTTCACATGCAGCTGTGACTGAATGCTGCAGAATTTACAGATTAGCCTCAATGGACGCCTCACCCTTCGCAAAGAGAACCAGATGTCAAAGTTTAGATTTGTTGGTGGCTGTTCCCAAAATTGCACTGACTTGCCTGTTTTGCCACTGCCTTCTTTTCCCCCCTCCCTCTTTCTCTACAAATCTGCCTTAAAAAAAAAAAAAAGGCAGCTGACTGGAAAGATAGAAAGAAACCAAGCCCCATTACTGGAGCTTCTCCAAACAGTCCTTTCTGTGACATTATGGGTTACACATTTCCAGAGTCTTGATCCTTACAGGAAGAAGACAAAGATGCGGAGACTCTGAACTTGTTGAAGCTGAAGCATACTTACCATTTGTACTGCCTGCTCAAATGCATTGGGGAAATACTACAAGTAAAATATAGGCTCATATGCTTCCACTAGCTCTAGCAGTCTATAATGTTGAATGATGAACGTTTGCTGTCTTCAAGCACCATTGTTGCATATGCTACTGATATTTTGTCCATCTGGTAAATTAATAGCTTCTATGGGGAAGCACCCTCATGCTGAACAAAGTATGGCCTTGCTGCATCTAGTTAAGATTCTTTTCATCTAACAATGTACCGTACCTCATAGCTTCTTTGTTGTCTTCGGGATCTATCCCTCAAGACCACTGCCTCTGCTTATGAAGATTTTGGGACTAACAGACATTGACAGATCATTCCTTTATGCCTTTGTCTAATGCAGCGTTCCCCAACCTTTCCAGGTTGACGGCCCGGCGTGAGGAGGGGGGGGAGAGAAGGGATGGTTTTACGTGAGGGGCAGGTGTGCCCGCGCATGTGCACACTTCATTTGTGTGAGTGGTGGGTGCGTTCATGTGAGTGGGGCTGCAAGCGCCAGTGCCCACCACTCAGGCAAATGGGGCTGCGAACCCCAGAGCCCGCTGCTCGTGCAAGTGGAGCTGCACGTGAGTAGAGCTGCACACTTACCCACCGCTGGCGTGGCCCAGTTCCAAATGGGCCGTGGCCCGGTTTCAAAAAGGCCTCAGCCCAGGAGTTGGGGATCCCTGGTCTAATGGTTTTTGAGAGCACAAGGTTTGTGCCATTTGCTAGCAAGGAAAAGAGGGGGAGAATGCCTCTGAAAATGCTCTGTTGGGCCTAGGGCTCCCCTTTCTCTGCCTGAGATAATCATTCAGTTCTATTCAAGAAAAAAAATGGATCCAAATGGAATTTAGTGATGATGGAAACCACTAGAGGGATTGGCAAGGATTGGTCAGAAAGCTTCAGGGAATGTCCTATCAAATGAGCAAAGGGCATTTTGTTCCTTCCTATTTACAATGAAGGGACAATAATGAACCTGCACCTGATCTCAGCACTGCCAAACAAGTTGGACTCTAGATGGACCGACCGCACTTCTTCACCAGAATTTGCAGTTTCCAGAAATGGTTCTGTATCAAGACCTATGGACATACCTGGATTTTTATGACATTCACCCAAAGTTTTCTTATAGCTGACAGCTTTCACAGGGGGCAGACAGAAATAGACCCTGGAATGATCCCTTCTTCAATTATCATTTAACAAACCAGGATATGACATTTGGGAGTTAAAGAAGTGGAAAAAGAAGTAAAGGCACTCAGATCTTAAGAGCCCCATGATTTGCTTCAGTTTATCTTAGGAGACCAGTAATCAAATTATTCTTTAGCCATTTCAGTTTCTTGGGAAATTGTAGGCTTAATTCACACGACAATTCTAAAGAAGTCATAGTGTAATTCCACCACCCTCCTCAGTGTTTACCTGGTAAAACTGGACTGGGGATGAATTCGGACTTGCAGAATAACCTTGTATAATTTAACTATTATGCTACCCTGAGATCCGCCAATTGAAGCTTGAATCCAAACATACATACATAGATTTAAAAAATCCTAAACCCTCAGGCTGTTCTGAGTACCAGTGTCAAACTGTGTTCAGGTTTGTTTGTTTTTTTTACACAAAACTACTCCAATCCATTTTACTAACTTGATTCCCTCCAGATTTATTGAGACTGCAACTCCCAGAATTCCTAATCAGTCTCTTGGGACTTGCCATCCAACATGTCTGGAGGGCTCCAAGTTGGGGAAGGCACTCCAACATTTTCATCATTTTAGTAATGTAACAGGAGGGGGTTGTTTGGAAGATTTTGTTTTGTGCCTTCAAGACAGTTTTGACTCCTGGCAACTCCCTGGATAAATTCCTGCAGTTTTCTTGGCAAGATTTTTTGGAAGTGGTTTGCCATTGCCTCCTTTGTAGGGCTGAGAGAGAGTGATTGGCTCAAGGTCACTAAGGTGGGACTGGAAATACGATCTCCTGGTTTCCAGCCTGTGCCTTAACCACTACACCAGGGCTGTCAAACTCCCGGCCCATGGGCCAGATGCGTCACGTGCTGGCCACGCCCACGCCAGGTTTAGCGAAAGGGGGAAAAGTCCTGATGCATCACGTGATGCTGCCGTGACAACGTGCATTTGACACCCCCGCACTACACCAAATTGGCTTTGGAAATTACTATTGTTCTATGTTTGAAGTTCCAAAATATTGCATATTCCCTTATTCTGAACACTACACTGAGATTAAGCAGATCCTGACCACAACCTTATTGGTGTCCTGCAGTGGTGAAATCCAATTTTTTTTTATTACTGGTTCTGTGGGCGTGGCTTGGTGGGCATGGTGTGGCTTGGTGGGCGTGGGGAAGGATACTGCAAAATCTCCATTCCCATCTCACTCTGGGACCAGCCAGGTATTTGCCAGTTCTCTGAACTGCTCATAATTTCCACTACCGGTTCTCCAGAACCTGTCAGAACCTGCTGGATTTCACCCCTGGTGTCCTGTTATCCCATGTGAGTTGAGAAGTCATTCCATGTTCTACTGATGTGCAGTAGTGTGTTGCTTTGTAAGGCATCAGACTAATGGTGTATTGGTGTAACTAATGGGGTAACTATCAGTTTTCCCTTCCAACTAGTGTCAGCTACCTTGAGTTTGAGCAGTATTTCCCAGCCCTGCTGTCCTTAAATCATCTAGGCCCAGATCCTTCTGTGTGTAAAGTACAGTACATGCCCAGGTATAAGGTGTTGCCAAAGGTAAACATTTTCATGGAGCTGGACATATTCATCCACAGTAAAAAAAAAAAATTCTGCTCCTCCAGTATAGCCTACAGCTCAATATTGCTTGATGTGCTCCATTCAAACATCGATCAAGCCCACTCTGCTTTGCTTTTCAAGATCAGCTGAGGTCAACTAAGGGTTGCTAAGGGTAGACCTCCTACTTTAGTTCAACTGTATTATGGAAATTTGCTTACAATTCTAATATGTTTTTAAAGAATTATATAACTCCTCAGAATTGTTGGGAAGATATTGGTAGAGGGCATGCAGTAGTAGAAACTACAGTTCTTGCTTTTAAAAAAAGTAGAAGGATAGTTTGGAGAAACACTTATTTATGATGAACACAAATACATTTTGTAGAGTCATCTCTTTGTCAGTATGTAAAGGACAGCCAAAGTAATCCCTGCTAAAAGGGGATCAAGTCAGATTCTTACTGGAAATAAGCCAATTTACTGCTAATCTACCATCATTTATAGGCTGCTGCTTAAGATCTAGTCCTTTTATGACAGATACAAAAATAAACACCCTGCCAGCCCCTAGTCACTGTCTAAGTATTGTAATATTTGCCAAATACGAACCTGTTATGCTATGTAATTTATTATAATGATGGGCTGAATAATTTTTCTTTAAATTATTGTGTAAATAATATTGATTCCATGAAATCATAACATTTTATATGAACAATGTAAATTACAAGACTGCTTCTCCAACTGCAGCATTGTTTTATGTATCAAGGTTGGAGGAAGTTATTTTTGATGTAGATTTACTACATGCCATCTTCTAGGACAGTATATTAATTTTTGTTGACTACTGCCTTCCAATGGAAAAAGCTGTATTTCTTTATTTGTGTTTTAAAAAAATAAATACAAAAAACTTTTCTAACCATTCACAAACAGATGTTGTTTCTAAGATGAAAGCAAATCAATTGTCAAATACAAGGATTTTAGTTCCTTTACATTCCTTTACTGTTGGTTAGTGTAGTATAGTGGAATTATGCAGAAATGGGCTGGATTCACACATATCAAGAGTACTTAATTTAGCCATGGTGTTCCAAACAAACCACAGTTGGCTAGAGTCATCCATGGTCAAATAATTTTATGGGATAACAAAGTGGGTGGCTTAGCATATACTAAGCATATAGCCTAGTATAAAACGAAGCATAAACTTATAAAGTTTATGTAATTTGTGTAATTTGCATGTATACATATTCATGTTATTCAAGGCTGTAACATTTGAAATATGTCATCTATACATTCAAAGGCTATAGGTTAAAAGTCTCAAGGAGAATTCTAGTTTAGAAGAAAAATGTCACCAATGCTCCAAATAATCAGGTAACAGATTTTGCATGCTCTTACAGATGTTTATAAAACTAATGCTGAAGATTCATCACACATTTGCTGTGATGGAGAATTAGATTTAAGTGCTTATTGTAACATAATCCTGTCTCATGTAAAAAGATTTACCTCTTCAATCACCCTTCAAATCAGGGGTGAAATATAAAATTTTTCCCTACCGGTTCTGTGGGCGTGGCTTGGTGGGGGTGGGGGTGTCCTGTGACTGAGTGGGCATGGCCAACTCGATGTCACTCACAGCCACGTCCACTCAGTCACAAGACCCCCTCCCACCAAGCCACGCCCACAGAACCCGGTAGGAAAACTTTTTAAATTTTTATTCTGCCACCCACTCGGCATCTGCTCTCTCTTCGCTTTGGGTCGGGGGCCAGGGCCCAGGGATGCACCATTCCCTGGGGCCCCGGAGCCGCCGCCTTCTCGCAGCCTACCTCAACTGGGTCAGGAAATGCACCATTCCCCGACTCCAGCCTTGCCGCGAGTTCTCCAAACTACCGGCCATCATCGCTACCGGATCAGCCGATCCGGTCCGATCCAGGAGCATTTCACTCCTGCTTCAAATGGTTTTCTCATGGGCAGATTTATATAGTCTTAGTCAATTAAAAGTCATATGTGGAGATCTGAGATCTAAGATTTCTAACAGCCTACAAGTGGAATGTGCACTCAGTCACTCATGCCCCGGTAATCTCTGATCTGGATTACTGCAATGCATGCTGTATGGGGCTACCCTTGAAAAGTATCCAGAAGCTACAAATGGTTCAAAATGCAGCACATACAATTCTGGAGGCCCCTGGGGTAGCACATGTAACCCCACTGTTACATGAGCTGTACTGGTTGCCAATCTGCTTTCAAATCTAATTCAAGCTGTTGGTTATCACCTTTAAAGCCCTTTATGGAATGGGTCCAAAGGGATGTGGTGGCTCAGTGGCTAAGACACTGAGCTTGTCGATCAGAAAGGTCGGCAGTTCAGTGGTTTGAATCCCTAGTGCCGCGTAACGGGGTGAGCTCCCTTTACTTGTCCCACCTTCTGCCAACCTAACAGTTTGAAAGCACGTAAAAAATGCAAGTAGAAAGATAGGGACCACCTTTGATGGGAAGGTAACAGCGTTCCGTGCGTCTTTGGCGATTAGTCATGCTGGCCACATGAGCACAGAGATGTCTTTGGACAGCGCTGGCTCTTCGGCTTTGAAACAGAGATGAGCACCGCCCCCTAGAGTTGGGAACAACTAACACATATGTGCGAGGAGAACCTTTACCTTTACCTATGGCATGGGTCCAGGATATCTAAGAAACTGTCTTGCCCTAATTGGAGTGGCCTTTCTTAGTTGTTCTGGCAGAAGGGGTCTACTGCAGAAACAATCAGCGAAGGAATTTCAGATAGCAAGTTCTAGAAGAGTCTTTTCTGCTGTAGCCCTTGCCCTGTGGAAATCTTGCTGCCAGAGGTGAGAGCCTCACCCACTTTTCTGGTCTTCTAAAAGGGCCTTTAAGCCTCACTTTGCCAGTTAGTGTGGGGCCCAGTGGAAATGCTTTAGAATGGAGGTGGTTGGTGTAGAGAAGACAGCTGCTCTGTTTGAACCTTCAGTTTTTAGTCTGTATTTGATTTTTGAAATTTAAATTGTTTTTCTATTTCTATTTTTATTACATTGTACGCTGCCCAGAGTGATTTCGACAGCGAGTTAAACAGCATATGAAATAAATCAATAAAATAAAATGTATAGGGCTCATTGCTTCAAACTGAGCTAGAGCCACTAAATTACAGGTAACCCTCAACATACGACCACAACTGAGCCCAAAATTTCTGTGGCTAAGCAAGACAGTTGTTAAGTGAATTTTGCCCCATTTTATGACTTTTCTTTCCACAGTTGGTAAGTGAATCACTGCAGTGGTTAAGTTAGTAACATGGTTGTTAAGTGAATCTGGCTTCCTCATTGACTTTACCTCTCAGAAGTTTACAAAACGCGATCACGTAACCAGTGATGGGATTCAAGTAATTTAACAACCGGTTCTCTGCCCCATTGATTTCTTCCAACAATCAGTTTGCCAAACTACTCAGAAAGTTAACAAGTGGTTCTCCCAAAGTGGTGTGACCACCACCACCACTGCACGTAACCCCGGGAGACTGCAACTGCCATGAATATGAACCAGTTGTCAAGCATCAGAACTTTGATCACATGATCACAGGGATGCTGCAATGGTTGTAAGTGTGAAAAATGGTCATAAATCACTTTTTTCAGTGCCTTTGTAACTTCACATGATCACTAAACAAATGCCTGTAAGTCAAGGACTGCCTGTATTAGCATTTACATTCTGTTCAAACTCAGCAGAACAAGTTATTTCTAATTTAAAGTTCACCCCAGTGGTGGGGTTCAGCCGGTTTGTACTGGCTCAGGTGAACCAGTTGCTAAATCCCACCCCTGCTATCAAAGTGGATCCTGGGCGCTGCACTGCGCTGCAATCAAGAAACGGGAAACAGAGCAGCCGGTGCAAGAGAAGGAGAAGGCCGCTTTTCCTCGTTCTTCTCCCTGCTCCTCCTTCCCTCGTGCTCCATTGCCCATTTCTCCATTGCAGCACAGTGCACAGAATCCACTTTGATAGCGGGGGGGGGGGAAATAACTTAACAACCAGTTCCCCCGGGGGTCAGGTTGGCCATTGAAGGAGGTTCATTCCACATATGTGGTGGAGCTGGAGAATGGGGATGGGCCATGTCTCCAACAGCCAAACTGACTCTGGGTGAACTGGTTGTTAAATTATTCGAATCCCACCACTGGTTTACCTAAAACCCAAATTGCTCTGGATCCATATAGCCATCTAATACAGAGGCCATCAGAAGTTTTGATGTATAGCTCCCACAGTTTCTTGCCATTGGATATACTAGCTGGAATCATTGGGATCTTCATGTCCCTGTCCCTATAACATAACATAATTTTTTAAACAATATTGTATTACAAGACTGAGAGTAGTTATACTTTTATCTAAATTACCTTCTGAAGTAAAAGTCTCAATTATAGATTCTTGAGTTCAATTGCTAAGCCACTCGACTGCTTGAGTGACAATTGCACTTCATATTTTGAATTATTTTTACTATTTCCATTCTCCTACTTAAAGTACTGATGCTGGAAAATACTGGAAATCATTTTCTTGCCTCAGGGATGGTTTATGTTCATTGAAAGGGCTCCACAGATTTGGATTTGACTGATTTCACCCAAAAATCTCCTGTGGATCACCTTCGATTCCCAGGAATAAACATTGGATGTAATAATTTTCATTTTCAAAAGCATTCATCCTCACGTAGCATCGATCACAACCTAACCTTAAAAAATGCTGACCAAAACTAAATAGGTTTTCTGCCATTCTAATTCTCTGTAGGTTAAATAAGTGACGCCAAAGGCAGGACAGAGCCACTAAAGCACAAAAGAAAGATAAAGTGAAAGTTAATTTGTTACTGGTTGTAAAAGTGAAGAAATAGCTTGAAGATTAGGAAAGACTGTAAACAACTCCTCCTACTCCACGATTACTGCCTCTGGTCACGAGACCATTGTGTGTTAACCAGCATCTATCACAGTCAGGGAAGAGGGACAAAGGAAGATACAGGTCTAGAAGGAAGAGAATGAAGGGCCTTTCCACATAATGCTTTGGTATTAATACTAGTGATGCTGCACCTGTAGGTTCTCATGCTACTATCCTTGCTGAGCAGCTGAACTGATGTCCTTCTAGCTAAGTAGTTTAAGATTGTAGCTTGGATCACATGAAGTCTCATGCCTCTATGCTTCTATGTTTTGATTTGCTGTGTGAAAACAGTGTTGCAATGCCAAGATGAAAGTAGCATCTCTGCAAGAAGCTAATTTCAGCTTTCCCTGACTGGCTGCCTGGTATTGGTGAGCTCCGATGAATGCTTCAAAGAGCAGCAGTAGGGACAACTATGGGTCATTGCAAGACAAAATCTAAGGGGCTGGGTAGCAGTGCCTGGATGTGTTATGGCAAATTTTCAGTCAAAATTTGGGCAAGTAGCGTTATTGTAGTTTTTAGGAAGGAATGGAAAAAGAAAAATTTCTAGAGGTGAAAATTTTCCCCAACATCAAGATGTACCAAAGGATCAAATTACTTTGTTAGCAGCACTGGGACAAAATATACCACAGGTATGAACAAATTAATTGTCAATCTAACCAGACAAGGCTGAGGTGTGGCTGCAGTCAATTGGGTAGGAAAAGTAAGGGGCAGAGAGGCAAATGTGAGTGGTTGGCAAGAAATAAAAAGGATTTCCTTGCTGCTTTGTCTCCAGACATTACTAGCCTGCCCATTCGAATTATCCTCAAGAAAACGTGGCCTTTGTCAGAAAAAAAATACCACATCCATAGTAGAAAGGAGTAAGTTAAATTCAACACATGGTCAATGAAACAGGGATGAAAAGTAAAAAGGGAAGGGGTTAGCTTTGGTTTCAAACATGAAGTAGGATGGAGAAATCAGACTGTGATTCTTTTAGTTAAGTCCCAATTGCCACAACTTAAAAACAATCTGTGTGGCTTTAGGGATAGAA